CTGGGATCACTGTGAGGGTCCAGTCTTGGAGCTGGAGTCTGGGGTCACAGCAAGGGTTTTGGAAGATGCTGAGATGCTGGGACACAGCTCAGGGATGTTGGGTCGTGATGCCAGCATTTCTAGCACCACCAGCATCTTTCCCGCAGTAGTAGGTGGCCGTGTCGTCGGCCCTGAGGCTGTTCATCTGCAGCGTGAGCGTGCTCTGGGAGTTGTCCCTCGAGATGGTGAAGCGTCCCTTGACCGACGGCGCGTACCAGGTGGTACTAACATCATCGTCAATACACGCGACATATTCGAGCCCCTTCCCAGGTGCCTGTCGCACCCAGTACATGCCGAAGCTGCTGAAGGTGAAGCCGGAGCCCTTGCAGAGGAGGCGCAGGGACCCCCCGGGTGTCTGGAGACCACCTCCGGACCCCACCAGTTGCACGGCCGCCCGCAGCCCTGGGGAGAGAGAAAGGACAGGATGGAGACGCCCGGGTCCCTGAGTCGCCCACCCACCCAAAATCTGTCTGCCTGGCATTAGGGGTCCTACCTGGGAGGGCTGCGAGGAAGAAGACGAGGAGGAGGAAGGTGGAGCGGGAGCTGCTCTGGAGTGGATCCTACTGGGGGGGTCCTCTCTGCCAGAAGAGGACTCGAGTTGCTCAGGTTGATGGTTACACCAAAGGTGGGTTCAGGGAGCCTTGACCATCCCTGCCCTGTTTCCAGACCCCTGACCCAATCCTGGACCCCTTGAAACGAGCCCAGACCCCTGTCCTAACCCTGGACCCCTTGCTCTGAGCACAAAAGGGGTTCTGGGCTGGTTGCAAAGGGTCTGGGCTCAGTTCATGGGGTCCAGGATTGGGTCAGAGGGCTGGGAGCTGGAAACAGGGATGGTCAGGGCCCCCTGAACCCTCCTTTGGTGTAACCATCACCCTGAGCAACTCAAGTCCTCCTTCAGCTGAGAGGATCCCCCCCAGCAGGACCCACCCCAGAGCAGCCCCCCCTCCACCTTCCTCCTCCTCTTCTTCTTCTTCCTCACAGCCCTCTCAAATAGGATCCCCCTAACCCCAGGCACACGGATTTTGGGGTGGGTGGGCAACGTGGACACCTGGGTGACTCCATCCCGTCCTTTCTCTCTCCGCAGGGCTGCGGGCGGCCGTGCAACTGGTGGGGTCCGGAGGTGGTCTCCAGACACCCGGGGGGTCCCTGCGCCTCCTCTGCAAGGCCTCCGGCTTCACCTTCAGCAGCTATGCCATGAACTGGGTGCGACAGCCACCTGGGAAGGGGTTCGAGTGGGTCGCAATTATTAGCAGCGATGGTAGTAGCACCTGGTACGCGCCGTCGGTCAAGGGACGCTTCACCATCTCGAGGGACAACTCCCAGAGCACGCTCACGCTGCAGATGAACAGCCTCAGGGCCGACGACACGGCCACCTACTACTGCGCAAAACTTGGTGGTGGCACCGACGGGGCGTCTGGGCAGGAAAACCACAGGCGAGCAGTGTCCCCG